GCTGGCTGCGCACAAGGAGCGAGCAACTTTCACTTTCAGCACTCTTCAGTTCAGAAAAGCGGGAGCTGTATGGAGAGCTTACACAGGAGGTGAACTGGTCTCATCTTTTCAGCTAACAATGAAGCTGCTTACCAAGGGAAAGATTACTACGGAGATGATACGAGGAAAATGTATAATTTATTGGCACCGGTGGATTTTTTTATTTTTAATCCATCAATTTTTATTTGCCTCACTGGTTCAGTCCGAGGGAAATACTATTCGTTACCAGAGCTATGAAGAGGACGCACCAGGTACTGTCATCGGAAACCTTGCCAAGGATATGTCCTTGAGTCTGTCTCATTCCTCCAAGACCAATTTCAGGATGATGAAACAATTCAATGATTCATTCATCAGGGTAAGAGAAAGCGACGGGGAACTCACTGTCGGGGAACGAATTGACAGGGAAAGAATCTGCAGGCACACTCCACAGTGTCTCATCACTTTTGACGTTGTACATTTCTCCAAAGAGCGCTACAGATTGATTCACGTTGAGGTAGAAATAAAGGATATCAATGACAACTCTCCGGAGTTTCCAAACAAGGAATCTGTAGTGGAGATCTCGGAGAATGCAGCAGTGGGGTCCCGTATCCCTTTAGACCCAGCCGCAGACGCTGATGTTGGGTCAAACTACATCCAAAGCTATCAAATTTCTGTCAACAGTCATTTCACCATTGATGTGCTCCTGAGAGCGGATGGGGTTAAATATGCGGAATTGGTGCTAATGAAAGAGCTAGACAGGGAGACTCAGTCATCATACACTGTGGAGCTGGTCGCCACAGACGGTGGAAACCCTTACAGATCGGGGTCAACAAAGATAACTATCAAAGTCACTGACTTTAATGATAATAGTCCCGTTTTTGACCAGAATAGTTTTTCAGTCAGTTTGCCAGAGGACGCACCGGTTGGCGCTGTTATACTGGACTTGAACGCAGTTGATGCAGATGAGGGTTTAAACGGAGAGGTCGCCTACGGGTTCGGGAAACAGGTTTCTCATGAGATACGAGAACTTTTTCAAGTGGATAATAAATCAGGTCGGCTGACACTCCGGAGCCCTGTGGATTTTGAGGACAAAAGCACATATGAGCTAGACGTGCAGGCGACTGATCTGGGACCAAACCCAACCCCCTCCGTGTGTAAAATCATAATTCACGTCACAGACGTTAATGACAATGCCCCAGAAATCAGTATCACCCCAATGACCTCCATCTCGACTGGCATTGCATACATCAGTGAGTCTGCAGAGAAGGACAGTCTGGTGGCGCTGATCAGTACCCTGGATAGAGACTCGGGTGTTAACAGCCAGGTCCACTGCACGTTATACGGCCACGACCATTTCAAACTCCGACAGGCTTACGAGGACAGCTACATGATAGTTACAGCAGCAGCCCTAGACAGGGAGAGGATCAGTGAGTATAACTTGACGGTCATGGCTGAGGATTTTGGGTCACCCGCGCTGAGAAAGATCACTCAGTACACCATTAGGCTCACCGACGAGAATGACAACGCCCCTCACTTTACTAAAGCTGTCTATGAAGTTTCAGTGGTGGAAAACAACGCCCCGGGCGCTTATATCACCACAGTGCAAGCCAGCGACGCGGATCTGGACAATAATGGGAAAATTACTTACAGACTTGTGGACAGTGTTATCATGGGGTCCCCAGTGAATACCTTTGTGTCTCTTAATTCAGTGTCTGGCTCCATATATGCACTGAGGAGTTTTAATTATGAGGTGATGAAACTGCTAGACATACATATCAAAGCAAGTGATGGGGGGTCACCACAGCTGCAGAGCACAGCTGTCATCCGACTAAAAATAGTTGATCAGAATGACAACCAACCATCTATCATAGAGCCCCCCCTTTACAAAGGATCTGCTGAGATTTTCCTGCCCAAAGATGCACCTGCAGGATATGTTGTAACTCAGATAAAGGCCACGGATGCTGATGAGGGTATTAATGCACAGCTGTCCTATAAAATTACAGACGGGGGTCACCTGGGATTCTCTGTCAACAAAGACACAGGGAAAGTGCACGTGAGCAGACAGCTGACGTATGATCTCACAGACAATGTCAAAGTCACAGTGGCGGTCAGTGACAATGGATCCCCGACACTCTCCTCCACAGCCATTATACACTTCAGCTTTATAGAAGGAACCGTACCCAGTATGCCTTCCTTGGCTCAAAATGGCAACGTGGAGCTTTTTGAATGGGACATGTCCATAGCCATAATCATTGTCCTGGCAGGGAGCTGCTCTCTCCTCCTGCTGGCTATCATTCTCATCACAACCATTTGCAGCCGCCGGAAAAAGGAGACAAGGGATGATGATAAAGAAGACATACCAAATGTGGAGAACGTGGAAAGTGGTCATGTTGATTCATTGATTGCCAACCACAATGGAAAAGTGTTTGATGCCCATCCATTTCCAGAGAACCCTCCATTGGCCAGCAGTAACACAACAGAGACAGGCTGTGAGGATGGCAGGCCAGCAGCAGGCATCTTTGAGTCAAACAGCAGGGTGATGGAGGGTAAATTAAAGGTCAGTCATTATTTTTTTTGAGATATTTAAAGTTCCTCTCAAACTAACTTTGTCATCTTTTGAACCTTGACTCAAAAGGTGTGTCGATTTGCTTTTGTCTTCACAGGGTTATTCTACGCTACCGGGCTATGGGAAAGAGACAGTCAGACCGATAACTATATGGAAGGGTAATTCATTCACAACAATCTCAGCAAGAGATCCCCACATCAGTGGCAAGGACAGTGGAAAAGGTGACAGTGACTTCAATGACAGTGATTCTGACATAAGTGGAGATGTGCACAAAAAAGAGTCGCCGCCAACAAACAGTGAGTGGAACAAAGGCATAATAAAATATAATATTACAGTGCAGATTCAGATCAATTAGTGTAAAAAAAAAAACATGTAAAGGTGAAATCCATGCAGTGGTGTGCTTTTTTGCTTCTGATAGTGTGGTTCATATTTTAATCTAAGCCAGATGGTACCCTCTGAGGTACAGCAATGTATTTTCTAATACACTGGACATATTATGATTGATCTTACCTGGGCTCACTGGGGTCTTTCAACACCAAACGCCCTCCAGCAGGTGAACCAGAAAATGTATTCGTATAACACCTGACAGCCCTGCTGTTTTCCACAGGTCTCTGGGCATGTACAAGCGAGTGCAAAGTGTTGGGACACTCGGACCGGTGCTGGAGCCCTTCGGCTACAAGGCCCAACACGAGCATGGCATGCGGACCGCATCTGTCAACTTTCAGCAAGACTGCTTCACTTCCAAGGAACACCGGAAGGGAAAACTACTACCCAGCTCTCCTACCCAAAACCAACGCGCTGCAAAGTGTGTACGAAAAAGTCCAACACCAAGAATTTGACTATATTCTCGTTGGTCCACAGACACCAGCCAGAATACAAGAGACAGATGAGATGTCCATTCCAGAGTACACAAACTCTTAAAGATTAAAAAGTCATCAAAAGGGATCCCGTCTTTATACTGTACAGTACTTTTATCTTAATTGACTATGTTGAATTGTTGCAGTGTTTTGTAGTTTGTCATGTGTCTTTTGGCTCATACAAGACTGTTCATTGTATCATGTGTAATATGCAAGATTTTGTACATTAATAATATATTTTTCATAATGATGCAATGTAAAGAAGGATTTTATTATGAATTTTCAAGAGCATGTGTTACTATTTAAGGGGCATGACCAATGGACTTTTAGGCTGATGGGGCCTTTCTGTTGTGGAAAACAATCAATATGAAAAATTACCATGTTTGTGGTAGATTTTGTCACATTGTTGCACAAATAAAGAGTGAAAACCGAAGATGTTTTGCTGTTGAACAAGAGTTAAAAAAAATGTTTTAAATACTTTTATCTTACATGAAGAGTACAACCTATTAACTTGAGAAATAGTCAGAAAAGCACAGAAAATAACCCTAACTAGCCAACTGAATGCAGTTCATTTGCCTGAAAGGCTTATAAACCAATAAATAAAATGTGGTGCTCAAATGCCCACAGTTAAATTGACAGCAAGCATAATCCAATGTCATGTTCTTTTCATGGTACACAATATACTTTCTGGGCTTTCTCAATATGCATGCAAATACTGCATTTCTGATCAAATGCTCTTATAATTACATATTTCTTCGAGGTCAGAAATTCGCTCACCTTTTCTGATTGCCTCCAAGCTAACCAAAAAAAATGTTATCCAAAAATGTGGTTCAATCTGTTTCCAAGCAACAGCAGCACTGCACACTTGATTTTTTCTTTTACTATGTTTCTTCTTTTTAAGTAATGATAAGGACCGGATAACCTTGACCACAAAACTACCTTCCTCCCACTGTCAAATCACAAAATTAATAATGAAGCAAGGGTTGTGTCTGTGTGTTTGGCTTTGCAAGTCAGGGCTGTCTTCTACAATTGTGTAGGAATATAAAGACCTAAGAAGACACGCTTCTGCATATAAGTATTACCACAGGGAAAGCAATCTGTTCCATTTCTCAACAATTGCCAGAGAAAAAATGGCAGTAAATCAGCAGCATTCATATACATTTATATCATATTTGACATCAAACTATTAAGACATGGATAATTAAATGAAAGGAACAAAGTACAAATGACTTGAATATAGCTGTTAATGTTTTATTCCCAACAATGGCTGATAATTAGTTACAACCTTTCTTCCACCAATAACAATACTGACTGCAACATATGACACAAAGCAACCTGAGTTCAGACATCTTTAAAAGTCTAATTTAGGTTTGGTACCACAGGATGGCCACATTGCTTTAGGGGACTCACAGGTAACATTTAGATGAAGAATTTAGCTCAAAGAATTTATATCAACTGTGCGTCATTCACACTCAAATGTCAAAAAACCTCCTGGTGGATAACCTGATTCTCCGAAGAGAAGCCTCAGTATTAGTGGAGGAATTAAAGAGGACATCAGAAGAGGGACTATGGAAAAAATCCAATATACCACTCATGGATCTGGCTGTTTTGAGCACATGCCTCCGGTAAGAAGGGCTTAAAACCTTTTTGATGATAAATATAATTGGCATCTGTGACATGTAAATAAAACTCTGGACTGGGAAACGTTTTCGGGATTGTTATGTAATGTGATTGTCCAGTCTCTAACTTTGAATCTTCTGAACCAAAGGAGCAAAGTGCGCCAACCTCTGCCTCCGTCAGTCGCCTCCTGAGATTTGGGGCTGCTGCTCTTATTGTTGGTGCTGTGTTGATGCTGTGTGCATCCATGGCTGCTCTCTACCTGTGGAAAGTCAGTGATAAGAATGTAAGTCCTGACTGGGGATTATGTTGTATTACAGCGCTGCTTCAATAGCATATTTCTAGAGACTGCAAGAATGCTTTAGGATGTTTTTAGCTAGAAAAGAAGATCCTCTGATCATGAAAAAACATTTTTATAGGCATTATAGCAAAGATATGTATGTTAATACCAGAGAAAACGTATCAATATCAATTAAGACTGTTTCATTATTTTACAAATTAAATACAAACCACATAAATTGTTTCCATTTTTGTACTCCATTTTATATAAAAATCATGTATTGTTTAAATGTCGTATTGGGAGCACCTGTAGGGCAATCTTCCCATTAAGGTTTGAAACAGCATATCCTGTGGAGCTTTGCTCAATTTTCACCATGCTTAAAATAAACACAGGATTTCTGTAAGAGGAGCAACAAAATTACTGTGCGTGGGGATTTCATGAGCACTATTAAGCTGGTTTTTTCTGTATCTCATTTCAATTGTGTGCTACACTGTGATTTACATAACTTTAGAATCAGTCATTTTAACGTTTCTCCTTGAATCCTGCCAGGTTTATAATGTTCGTTACAGTATGAACATCAATGGGAAGGCGAGGCAAGGCTCCGTGGAAATTGATTCAGACAACAACCTGGAGAGATTTAAAACTGGAAGTGGAGCTGGGGAAGTTGTGGAAATTCATGACTTTGAAATAGTGAGTGAGTTTGTCCTTGTTCTCTCCTCCTGAGGTAGTTCAGCTGGGAGTTTATGTGTGCTTTGCAAAGTAGCAAAGCTGTGTGTAAACATGGCATCTCTGTGATTTTGTGCAGGGAATAACCGGAATCCGCTTCTTTGGAGGAGACAAGTGCTATATAAAATCTCAAATCAAAGCCAGCCTTCCACACATGGGAGCTCACAACAAAGAGTCGCTGATGTTTGACCTGGTATATGCACACCACTTAATACACAACATTAAGACAGCGTTAAAATAAAGCGTATCCTCTGCTCATACCTCTATCATATTCAAGGACAATGTTTTTTTCTTCTTGCCAGACAGATGAAGTCATCCCAGTGAGGTTTGATGAGGAGTATCTCATATGGGTTTCCACTGAGCAGCCGCTGAAGGACACCAGCTTCCTGAGCAATACAATTCTGAATCTTTGCGGGGAACTCCCCATTTACTGGCTCCAATCTACCTATCCTAAAGGTTGCTCACTTTTTCATATTATGTATTGATTTACTCTATTCCAAAGAGTCTATAAAACTCACCTGTCAACACAGGTTATGGTGTATTCCATTTAAATGTGTGTACATTCTTTCATACTGTAGTTTATTTAAAGCTTGGTTGTGATCGCCCTGCTTCTCTGCTGACACACTTGTAAATGTAGAGCCTTGAACTAAGAAGTCGGTGAAACACTGGAACATCTTGAACATACTCCACATTTAGAGTACACCAAAAAAGGCTCCGGTCCTGTATTAAAAAAGAATGATCTTAAAATATGCACGACTGCTTGAAATCACTGCTGCTAATTTAATTATTCAGGGCATCTGAGACAGCTCCGGCAATGTAGGATTGAGCTCTGAGGACATGCATGGCGTCTTGTGGATGTTGACCCAATACTCTTGCCTCTTGTGGCTGCTGTAACAGATGGGGAGAGGAGGAAGAGAGACACACAGCGATCCAAACGGCAGTTTAACATGGAGGAGTTGGAGGCAGATGCTGAGGAGAGGAACCCGGTGAGTCACACAGTAGACGACACCTCCAGAGTGGTGGAAGAAGAGGAGGGGGCGCAGTCTGCTGGGGGGTCAGCATACAATCCCGAAAACCCCTACCATGTGAGTACCAACTGCATCAACAACACTGTTTATAATAAACAAAGCTCCAGAGCTGGTGAATTTTTTATTAACTATCAAGAGACGCACAAGCCCTTAAGCAACCCTTAAAGTAACGTTGGAAAAGTTTCTCTGTTTTGTCAACACTTTTTTCAGATGACTTCATAATGCTTAAAATGCAAGTCTTGTTGAAAAAATTAATCTTCAAAGAAATAGACGTACTTGTGTGGAAATGTGCTAACCTCTGCCAGCTAATAAACTGCTACAGCTGTTGAGTAGGTGTCGTATTAGTAGCTATGATTGCAGGTCACTGGGGTAATAGTTGTAATTTTAAGTTGATGAACTTATGAACTGAAGTGATGATTCCCATTGGTTTTTAAAAATGCATGTTTCCTTAGAGAAATGTGGTCACATGTTTTAGAGGATGAAAGTTTCTGAACAAGATTTGAATTGCAAATGA